ATTCTGGAGAATTCCTTAAGCCACTGGTCGTAGCTTCGCAGTTATGTTTCGCGGAAAATGTTCAACATGTATGCAACTCAGTTTTGGAAGGTTATTGTGGCAGGTTGTGTTATCCACAGATAAGAAGATTTTACACTTTTCCCGCCAAAACTGCTTATCTGTTCCTTTCAAACGGTTACTGAAGATGTCTCGCGTTATCCATGCTTTTGTATTGGATACGTAATCAACCAGCAGTCTTCAAATTCCTTTAAAACATAGTGTCTTCTTTAACTTCCCAATCACTAATAATTTAAGCTTTTTGCTCCCATCAGTATTATCACAAACTAAAGGTGTAACCCTCTGTTTACTGCTCTTACCTCACGGAAGCATCCCCTTTAAACTGTAGTGTTTTGTTTGGAAAGAGTTTATAAAAAAATGCAGTTTCGTCCGCATTAAAAATATCTTTGCACTTGAGAAAAACCATGGCAGTTTTCTACCGAAATTAGGGCATACGTCTTCGTTTACATCACAGTTTTAGCCACACACAGTTTGATAAGAAATCTTGTACCTTGATTTAAACTGAGAAGCCATACCTTCGCCATACAATAGGGATCCATTTATCGGAAAATTTCGACACCCAGTCTCCTGGAAGTTTTTCTAGATCTTCTTGGGAAGCATTTCTCATGTTTTCTTTCCTCTGGCAAATTTAGATTTTCCCCCATGAATCTGAAATTGATTCTTTATATTTCAAATAATCTCACAAGATATTTTTTTTTCCCTGCTAACTTTGTTTTACATTCATCATTCTCTACTTTCTTTAAAATTTCTGCCTTTGTCTTCAAAGTTAGAGTTTTACACTTTCCATATGTAGACATCTTGAATTTTTACACGTTCACACCACACACTGAGGACGAAAAAACTAAAGCACATTAACTTGTCTTCACTGCAGGCATAGCTGACGCACCTCTTCGGAATCTGTAGTAAACACTGGTTTTTCTGAAATTCTAAGAAAATTGATAACAAATAAACAAATGATTCTCCCCCTACACCAAACCATTCATAAAGCGCTCTGAATGAATCCAAGGAAACAGGTTCGGCCCAAGGAGGTTAGAATAGGAGATTAGTTGGTTAGGCCAGGGAGCTTTGATAAGAGTTAGGCAGTAGGACATAAGCCTTTAACGATTAGCGGTAGTCTAGGAATGCAGGAATGTGCCTCTTTACACAAAAAAGAAATATAGATTGTTCTGACACACAAATTAATAAATATAGTATGTATTTTCTCCGTTAAATTTTTTTTGTCGGATTTTTGATTCGAATTAACCCCTTCGAGCCGGGTAACGAAAACGGCCGCTTATCGCGGAGGCCGGCAGTGTCTTCCGCGAGCGTCTCTCCAGGGCCGGGGGCTTTTTTGCTACTAAGCCTAAATCCATGAAATCTCCGAAGTATCAACGCATTGTTTAATAATGCTCTATAGAGTATTTAAACGGCTTATGCTTTATAAATATTTATATATATATACTTTAAGTACCTTATTTCTTGTTTAAATGCATATTTTACACATTTTATTTTAATTACTCACCATTTTATGAATTTTAACATTATACATCTGAAAACTAAATATATTGCTTAAAATTCTCTTTTCCTATGAAAAATTTTAAAACAGGGATCTACACACAGTCCTACGTTACATTCCTTGAACTCGTAATAACTCATTTGCCGTTTTGGAGGATTTTTCCGGGAATGTGAACAAACGAAGCATCGTCGTCTCATTTTCTTATCAGTCTCTTCTGAACAAAGTTTTGGAAAATGTCTTTCAGTCAATCTTTCAGAATCAATATCAGAATTTCAGAATCAATATCTGAAATATTTTGCATCATTTTTGCTATTTCATGCTCTGTTAAACATTTTCGACGCTTCGACATTGAAACGGTAAAAACAGAAAGGATTCACGTCTAACAAGATCTAATTATTTTCTAAAAACTGAACTGTAAACCGAAATACTCAACGCTTTAGCGCATATAAAACTTCTACTTACAATAAACAACTACCACGTGCGAATAAAGTGCGATTTAAAGAGACGTCATAAATCACGCCATTCGGAAAACATTTAGTTCCCCGTTTTTATATAATCAAAAACACGTGTATGTGAGTCATGCTTCTCTCATTTCGAGTAGAAAGTCTAATGTACATGTATCTGAAACCATATGGACATACAGTGCCATCTTGTGGCAGAAATTATAGTTTGAAAAACGTTCCAAGGTAGTGGCACAAATATGTGACATTCGGTAGAAAATGCAACAATGCTCTGGCACGTCTGCGTGTCGGCCGGTAGATAAGTGTGTTCGTTGCTGGCACGTATACGTGACAGTCGGCGCGAAGGGGTTAAGCAAAGTGATAAAAATTTATTTCGAATTAATGAGATATTTTTAACATTAATTCCAATACAGATTTTGGGGGGGGGGCTTTGGATTAATTCATGGCCGAAGTTTTCTAATTTAAAAAATGCAAATTGATATAACGAGCTTCCGCTGTATTAAGGAAAAAATCTTGTTGTGTTTATTATTATTATTATTATTATTATTATTATTATTATTGTTAAAGGAGATAATTTTCTGTCACAATTTCTTTTTATTAGTATAAATTATTTCTATTTTTTATGGAGAAACACATTTCAGTATTTATTAAAAAAACGTTTTGACACTGATACGGAATTAATTTTGTTTTAATCGTAAAGAAACTTATCTAGATTTTATTTTGATGACACTTTGTATTTCTGTACATAATCGCTTTATTTCTGTACATAACATTTAGCTTTTTTAAAAAATCATCACTTCAGTTAATTTTGGGTTGGAAAAACAATAGTGGCGGATAAAAAATTAAGAATTCTTCCTCTCAAATTTCTTCTATTTACCATTATTTGTTATGTTTCAAGCTAAGTATTTTATTTGTGCTAATAATTTTACATGTTTCCAATAAATGTTCCTTATTAACCCTTAAATTTTATATAAAAGTTATAAGGTATTTCTCCCGCCTTCTTGGCATGCCTTCGTGATCTGGTGGTCTGCACACTAGGCGCGTATCCCAGAGATCCGTGGTTCGATTCCCGGCGAGGGCGTTGCTCATTTTTCAAGTTTCCTGCTTCTAAAAAATACTTAATGTCTCTACAGTGGCGCCTGAACTAAAAAGGTGGTGGATGATGATTCTCCCCACCCAGGATTTGGCGATTGGGTCCCCTAAAATCCCCATTCGCCCTTTAAAAGTGGGAGTATATAAGGTATTTCTCCCGCCTTTTTGGCATGCCTCGTTGTGCGGTGGTCTGCACGCTGGGCGCGTATTCCAGAGGTCAGTGGTTCGATTCGCGGCGAGGTCTTTGCTCACTTTTCAAATTTCCTGCTTCCAAAAAATACCTGATGTCTCTACAAAGTAAAGGTTAACAGATTAAAAAAAAATCCTTTTCCAATATAATAGTTATGTAGAAGAACCACCCACAGATTTCGGTAATTTTCAGAGCTAAAATTGCTCCGGAGCCCACCGGAACTTGGCTCCAGAGAAGTGAAACACAGTTTCAGCAGAGAAATTTTATTAAAATAAATATACCTGTAAAATTGATTATAATTTCCATATTCATGCTCCGGTGAACAAACACTTTGACGGAAGTTAAGAATTTTAGGGAAAGAAAAGTCCCCATCCACATGTCAAAGGCTTATTCTCCAAGTAGAGCAACAAATTTATAAAAGGAGGTAAAATGTTTTGTTCCCGAAAGAATTAACAATGATTAATTACCTTGGTGTTTCACTTCCAGTGCTAGTGAACACTCACGGCAGAGCTCTTGCAGACTTGAACTAAGTAACCAAATACCAGAGACAAAAACTGTCACTGATGCAGACCTTACGTTTGTTCCCAAGTTGTCATCGAATGGGATTCAGAAGAAATTTTTTTGCCCGGTTGTATTCTGTTTGTCAGTTAGAATTATATCGGCAGGGCATCGCGTTCAGAAAGTGTTGGCCTCCTCTCTGGTTGTTTTCGAAGTTACAATTATCCATTAAAATTTCTTTGCATTGTAACGTCAGTACACCCGTGTCGGGTGAAAGAAAGACAGGTTGTCTTTTAAATTATTTATTTGATAAACTAAAATAAATTTCTTGATTAAAGCAAAAATAACTGATCATTACAGCCCTAAATCATACAATATCCGCTAACGCAGATTGGACGCAAAAAAGCGTCCTTTTTATTGTAGTTACAGCATAAAAAAACTATTGTTCTACGGAAACCACTGGCGTGGTTTAGAACGTAAAAGATGCGTCCTGTCACCTCAAAATCACATGAAAATCTCTACACAAAGATTTCACTGGTTTTGTTATCTGCGAAGAGAAACATAATTAGTTCCTTGTGTCCGGAAACTCCCGGGGGGGGTTTATCTGCAGTCCTGCTTTTTGCAGGTATGGTCCATTTCGTCCGCGAACAAACAGGAAGTTATAATTCAGCACCTGTGCCCGCGGGGGTGCTAGTAGCTGTATCGTCACAGCATACTCTCATATTGTTTCTGGCATTCTATTTACATTAATGTAGTTTTAATCGTTTTACGTTTTTCCACTGTTGTGCTGGAAAAAGAATAACTCACTCTCCCTCCCCCTTTGAAATAGTATACTGTATATTTAGGGTCTAAATTCAGCTGGAGGCCGGGAGCTAGTTTTTGTGTAAAATTGTTAGTCCAGTCAGAGCCCCAAATGAGATGAGGTCCGATGTTTTATTCCTTTTATTTAACTGTATCACTAATTTAATCATTTTTCATTTATATCTTTATATTTATTGAATTTTAATTTTAATTATTAGTTATTTTATTTATTTAATTTTCCCCATGAGCTCCCGTATTTCTGATTTTAGACATTAAGCCCTGGTATGTGTTATACGTATATTGCTCTTTAATAAGAACGTCTTTAAAATCATTTTAATCTGTCATGCACGAATGCATATCTACTTTCCTTCTAGACGTTTTTAATTTAAGCAATTTTTATTTTCAGGAAGCTTCTTATATCCTAGTGGCTGGCTCTTCGATTGTGAAGATGCCTTGTGCAATATTCTCCTACACCTGGCGGCCATTGTTTCAGATTGTGAGTTAACTAGATTACTTCTAGAAAAAGGAGCCGATGTTACAAGCATACACGGAATTGGAGGAACAGCTTTGCATACTGCTTGCATGAGAGACTCTTTAGGTAATGTTAAAAATATTTTGCATATGTTTATGTTTTATTTTCCTCATTTACATAATAACTTGTACGTTAGAAAAAGAATCAATGTACCAAATATTGACTCGTAATTAAGAGAGTAGTAAATACCCTGATAATGAAATTTATGAACTGTTGCACAATTATCTTTATACTTACATCAAGAAGAGATTACAGTTTACTTAGTTTTATTCCTAACCTGCAAGTAAGAAGCCGTCGCGTTATTTCGTCTTTTGACTGGGCACGATTGCCTGAATGCCCATCTATTTACAATTCGGACATACAGACTCTTCAGTGTATACTTTTTAGTGTATACTCTTTGTAACTCCTTACAGTCCATGGATAAGGAGCATACTGATGAGTGCATTGTACTTTTATCTTTTAATTCTATTGTTCTTAGTTTTTTACTTCCTTGTACGAAGTAAAAAGGAAGTATTGTAATCGAAAAAAGTTTCTGGTAGCATATTTCAAACGAAAATATCCCATTTTGACCTCTTTCAAATGCAATTTAACGATGTATTTCCGTGATATCTGTACGTAAGGACAGAATAAAACACTCTTTTCCTCCAAAAAAATTATAAAACTGCTTTAAAATGAATTCTGAAGAGAATTTTTCGTGGCGTCTGTACGAACGTATGTACGTAAGTATCTCGCATAACTCAAAAACGAGTAGCCTCGAACGTTGAAATTCTGTACATAGGACTGCTATAACATGTAGATGTGCACCTCGTATTTTGGTTGCAATCGGCCGCACCAAACGTATGTAAATATATTTATATATATACCCACTCTGTTACCCGGCTCAGCGATCTCAGTTTCTTTACTCTTATATGTTTGTAAATTGTGCATTTTTTGCTTTAAAAATGATTGAATTATGTTTTTCTTATCTTCCGATTAAGGTTTTTATGCCTTTTAGTAAATCTGTATGCAATATTTTTAGAATTATCAACAATTTTAAAATTGTTTAAGTGCAGCTAAGCCTAATAATGTTTTTGATGGCGGCCACTGCTCTTGTTTTCATTTGAAACAGCAGAATAGCGGATTTGTTGCCAATCTAGAGAAACTCAGCTTCGCAACAACAAAGATAACGCCTTCATTTATTATTTAAATCATGCTTAATCCTTTCTGGAATTTTTTCGAGGAAATAAATGTTTAAGATTTACTTCGTAATTTTTAATACAGATATTTTGAATTTTGATTTATTTTTGCCTTGTTGCGAAGTGAAAACTGAATTAATTGAATGAGAAATACTCAATCGTCTGTGAAAAACTGTTTCTTTTTTGTTTTGTTTGCTTAATATCTTTTATACATCGTTCTAGCTTTATTATAGCATTTGAATAGAACATGTGGCAACGATTAGATCATTCTTTAAATGATATAAATTTTGTGCATTCTGAGTTATAATATGAACGAAATATAATACTGTTAAGTAAACGTAGCGCCAGAGTGTCGCTATGGTAAACAAAGTGAATTTTAAAGAATGCATTTATTCTATTGTGGTTTATGCGCTGTCGGCGAAGTGGGTTTAATTCAATAAGTTTAAATGAAATGCAAGAAAAAATGCGTATAATTTAATATTCCGTACAAGGAAGTCAAGTGGTGCACACATCAGATTTTTTTTATTAAAGAAACACAATAAGTTCCCCATGTTACATGGGGCTTACAGAAGTAAGTATGAAACACAATACAAAATATGCAGGAGGAAAAAACTGAAATAAAATTAAGGGTGATTACAAAGTTTCACAATGAATTGACAAAAAGTGTTAAAAGCACTTCTCTCGGAAATAAATTGGTAAAATTCTGGAGGCCAGTTAATATTAACATTTTTCAGTCTGTTTCAAGACTTTTCTTTCGTTCGCATATTTACGACATAGAAGAAGCACATGTTCAACATTCTCCTCTCCACCGAGGCTACAATCACAGCCTAATTTAGCAAATAAGACATACACTTCTTTAATACACGAAGTGAAAGCAGCAAAATGCAGGAAGGAAAAGCAAAAGTTCATTACAGATGGTTAAAACGCTGTGCTATTCTAAATATAGGTTTAAATATAGGTAAACTGGGTTTTTTTCGTTGTTATCTGGGGATATTTGTTCATACGGATCATCTGAGGAATCTGTTCATCTGAGGACGTTTGTTCTTACGGCTACCGGATCTGGGAAGAACTTACGAAGCAAGGATTCCTATGTGTTAAATGACTACTATATCGGTGCTTTGCACAAAAAATTATGGAAAAACTTCGTGCGGAGTTCGTTAAATTTCTTCGGATTGCTTGGGTAGTTTTCTTGTCGTGTTAGAGCGAAACCGTGTTGTAGGAGGGTTCTCGCAATTTATGAATCGTGTGTAGGAGGGCTACCTGTATATAAATAAGAATGTCTGTCTGTGTGTCTGTTTGTTTTGCCACATCGAATCGATTAAAATCAAATACAGGTGAAATACTGGATGGAACTTGAGTTTTTACGACCATTTGATTAAAAAGACGAAAATCATTAAAAATTGCGTGCCATTGTTGCTGGTATAATGAGAGAGAATTAGTAGAATTTGTTTTTCTATCGAAAATTTCTTATGTGGGTTTCATATCGCATCAGACTGAAAAATGTATGACTATGAATCGTATTTTTTGCATCGTTATTAGAGAAAGATTACAGCGGTATAGTTCCCTCTGTTGCCAGATGCATTACTTTCAATCTAACTTAACCGGCAACGGGTACTTCCGCTAGTAAATAAATAAATATAAAATTTAAGCTTTTTTTACATTCTTTATTTAAAACCCATGAAATCATAAAATAAATGACCTAAAAATTTTTAAAAATTAAAAACAAATATAATTTGAAAGAAATATTATCGGAAAGCTTTCAGATTTTATATTAAACCCAAACAGGTGTTCGTTTCATTTACAGACACATGTATGTTTCGAGAGGATTTGGGCAAAAAATATTTAAAGTCAGCATATGTTTAGAATTTCGGGTAGACAATTTCGCGCGCTTAACCCTTTCCGGCACGCTACCTTTAAGTCGTAGCTTTGATTGAAAAAAAAAAAAAAAAAAAAAAAAGGTAGGCAGTTTAATTAGCTTTCGCGCGCTTAACCTTTCCGCAAGACCTTTTAAAGTCGTATGATTAAAAAAAAAAAAAAAAAGGTAGGCAGTTTAATTAGGCGACAGTTTCGCGCGCTTAACCCTTTCGGCACGCTACCTTTTAAAGTCGTAGCTTTGATTTAAAAAAAAAAAAAAAAAAGGTAGGCAGTTTAATTAGGCCTAGACAGTTTCGCGCGCTTAACCCTTTCCGGCACGCTACCTTTTAAAGTCGTAGCTTTGATTGAAAAAAAAAAAAAAAAAAAAAAAAAAGGTAGGCAGTTTAATTAGGCCTAGACAGTTTCGCGCGCTTAACCCTTTCCGGCAAGTACCTTTAAAGTCGTAGCTTTGATTTAAAAAAAAAAAAAAAAGGTAGGCAGTTTAATTAGGCCTAGACAGTTTCGCGCGCTTAACCCTTTCCGGCACGCTACCTTTAAAGTCGTCGTAGCTTTGATTTAAAAAAAAAAAAAAAAAAAAAAAAAGGTAGGCAATTTATTTAGGCCTAGACAGTTTCGCGCGCTTAACCCTTTCCGGCACGCTACCTTTTAAAGTCGTAGCTTTGATTTAAAAAAAAAAAAAAAAAAAAAAAAAAAAAAAAAGGTAGGCAGTTTAATTAGGCCAAGAGGAGTACACAAGTAAAATTTTGTGAAGTTAGCAGTTATTGTTTTAATTCTGTGGGTGTGCGCAAAGCGGCACACTGATTGAATACAGTTCGAAAAGAGTGCTGAAACGAGCATTGTTGTCAATGACTGACCGATGAAAATGCGAAAGAAACAAAGATACAGACTCTCAGTTGTCCTAGATTATCGGTGAGCCCGGTTTGGGCACACTTAGCGTTCGCCGTTGATTTTAGGCAAGATTCAAGGTAAAAATTTATAAAATATAGAATAAGGAGATTAGCATACAGCCAAAAATATAACATATAAATTTCTTTTCAAAGAATTCCTTTTATACCCTAAAACAAATCTGGAAGATTTCTTTGAAAAATGAGGATCTTAAAAAACTAAACATCGCTAAAATATATGGACTGGTTTGTGTTGATCTTCCATCTACTATAAATAAAGAAGATTCAGAGTAACCTGTAATAACCTATAAATCCTTTTTCAATCAATTTTTCTGTGTGTACAGAAGGAAATTTTTAGGTGTGTCCAGACCGGACACATTGTGCCGCAAAGGGTTAAAATAAAAATGTTCTTTTCCTTACATGTTGCAACTACTCATTTGAAACTGTTGAGTTTTTTAATAAAAATTTCGTTAAAAATTTTACAAAATATGAAATAGGCAATAAAACAAATTCTAAATCCGTGCTTTCAGTTGCGCCTGTTCCTGTGGAGGACCATGCTATTCAAAATTCAATGACTGTAGGTATCTTTTTTTTTTTTTTTTAACAATGCGAGAAACATACATAGTACATTCATTCAGATTCTTCAGTATTTAGTTTCTTTACATGTAACTAATACTAGGACGATAATATTTGGTGGCAACAATTTGAAAAGTGATACATCGCATTTAAGTGATTCAACGCAAAATGCCGTTTCGAGACCAATTGTCCTTCTGGGTAAATGCCCCTTTGGGCTAATACTTTATTATACACTTTAATGAGAAGGTAATGAGGAGTTAAATAAGACTCTTTATAGAAATCTTCTACAATTTTATATCACGAATAACACATGTATAGACGCCTAAATAAAATCTAATAAGCTACATGCATTATGTCTACATGTATCAGGTTACAAGTTATTATGTTTACAAATTTATCAAACCCACCTTTTTATCATTATCAGTAAAAAAGTTGTAGATCAATTTCGTAAAGAGAATATTTTAATTACATATTTCCATTAAATTATGTGATAAATGATTATACATTTTTCTTCATTTAGCTTATGAAATATTTTATGATTTTTAAATAAAAACATTTTTATTCAAACTTTTATTTAGTTTGTAACTTCTTTTTTCGTACTGGGCAGCAGATGGCGGCACAAGTACTAACTACTACTACCCCGTTAGAAATTCGAGTGACAACATAATTTTACAGCAGAAATTTGATCTATTTTGAGGTTTCTACTTTCAGCTGAAAAGGCCTCCCTCACCACTGAATGAAATCAAAATCTAAATGACATTACGCGAAGTCCCCTTCTTATACGTTTAATTCAAATACCTAAGTCGTGTAGAAGCAGAATACTGTGGATAAATGTCTGGTTTTCTTGTCGCTGTGACTTTTAATCTCACTTGTCTGACAGTAACATCAGAAAACAGCCACGAAATTGATGGTGGCAAGGAGTGTAAGATTGGGCCTGTCGTTTGCAAGAGCCTTGAGCACCAGGTGATAGCATAAATTTGCTCAGTTTCGCTCGCAATTTTGCTGGAGAACACTCCGAGGGTTTCCCACCCCTCTTCCTCCTACCACTACCTCTCGAGAGGAATTTCGGCATGCCGCATATTTAGAGTGTCCCCCCTGCTGCATAGAAACTATACATTTACAAAGATCCATGTCAACTCCTGGATTCGAACCCGGGCCCTTCGCTAAGGCAGTCAACGTCGCTAGACAGCAACCGGTTTGGCAGTGGTTTTTCTTCTTAAAATCATGTAGTTATTGCTTATGCTCACGTGTCTGACGTAGTCAGCCCAAGCCAATGAAATTCTTCGTGGCAAGGCGCGCAAGATACGCCTGTCGTTGGCAACAGCCTTCAACACCTTACAGGTGACGGTGCGATTTAGTTCAAATCCGCTCCCAATTTTGATGGAGAGCACTGCGGGGACGGATCCGAGAGTCTCCTCCACTCTGCCCTTCCACCAAACCACACGAGAGGACTTCCGGCTCGCCGCATATTTAGAGTGCCGCTATGCCGCACCGAGACTATATATTTACAAACATCCATGCCTACTCCTGGATTCGAATCCTGGCTCTTCGGCGCGGCAGACAGCGACCACCACATCACCACACCGGTTGGGCGGCTCTTAATATGAATATATAAGTCGTTTTTAACATTTCAATCATAATTTCTGTTCCACAATTTCCTCAACTGGTAATTTTAACTGCGCACACTGTGAAAGTATTTCTGAGAGCTTCTATGCTGGCATTCCATAAAACTCAATCCGATACCCGTTCGAAAGTAATATCGATAATCATTTTCTTGTTTTCGATTGTGATTGTGACTACGGCAAAGTGTCAAAAGCTAACTGCCTATGGGGAGGGATGCCTTCGTGCAGGACTTTTTAACGGAACTGGCTCGTATACACGTTGCAAATGGGGAAAACTACGAAAGCGCCCATGCAGCCAGCCCGTTCGCGGAATTCGAACCTCGAACCGAACTATTAGCGTTCAGCGACTTGGCCGCTGGTGGGGCTTCTTGCTTTTGAATTTATTGTGTGAGATGTATGTCTAAAGCTGATGTGTGCATTTTTTTTTTTTTTTTTTTTTTTTTTTTTTTTTTTCAGAAATTGTAAAGTTGATAGCTGAGAAATCGCCGGCATCTATTCTTGAAGCACGTGATCATCGTAATGAGACTCCTTTGGAAATTGCTTGTTCATCCGGCAGTCCGGAAGTAGTACAATTCCTTTTATCGATGGGCTGCAGTGTGGTTGTAAAAGACCGCCGATGTGGTGGTCCTCTACTGAGTGCTATATTTAATAACCCAATATATGCAACTCCAATTGCGTCTCTGCTTTTAGACGCTGGTGCAGACGTAAGTAACGAAATCAAATCACTGTTTTTAAATAATAAACATTTAGTATTAATTGTTAAACAATATGTATATTTTTCCCGGAGATTGCAATACAAATGAAAATTTACATTTTGACAGGTAAACTAAATCATACTCACAGCAAATATAGCTAATGGATTGCTATTTGGAGATAGCTTACCAATTGAAAGTTTACATTTTGCCACATAAACCACATATTCACAGCAAATATAGCTAATTGATTGCTATTTGGAGATTGCTCACCAATTGAAAGTTTACGTTTTGCCACATAAACCACATATTCACAAATAGTTATAACTAGTGGATTACTCTCCAATTGAAAATTTACATTTTGACACATAAACCAAATCACATTCACAGCAAAGATAGCTAATTGGATTGTTATCCGAAGATTGCACTCCAGTTAAAAATTTACATTTTGACACTTAAACCAAATCATATGTACAGCAATTATAACTAATGAATTGATATCTGAAGATTGCTTTCCAATTGGAAATTTACATTTTGCCACATAAGCCAAATCATATTCACAGCAAGTATATCTAATGGATTGCTTTTCGGATATTGCTGTCCAATTGGAAATTTACATTTTGACACATAAACCAAATCATATTCACAGCAAAATATAGCTAATGGATTGCTATCCGGACAATTGCTCTCCAGTTAAAAATTTACATTTTGACACTTAAACCAAATCATATGTACAGCAATTATAACTAATGAATTGATATCTGAAGATTGCTTTCCAATTGGAAATTTACATTTTGCCACATAAGCCAAATCATATTCACAGCAAGTATATCTAATGGATTGCTTTTCGGATATTGCTGTCCAATTGGAAATTTACATTTTGACACATAAACCAAATCATATTCACAGCAAATATAGCTAATGGATTGCTATCCGGACAATTGCTCTCCAGTTAAAAATTTACATTTTGACACTTAAACCAAATCATATGTACAGCAATTATAACTAATGAATTGATATCTGAAGATTGCTTTCCAATTGGAAATTTACATTTTGCCACATAAGCCAAATCATATTCACAGCAAGTATATCTAATGGATTGCTTTTCGGATATTGCTGTCCAATTGGAAATTTACATTTTGACACATAAACCAAATCATATTCACAGCAAATATAGCTAATGGATTGCTATCCGGACAATTGCTCTCCAGTTAAAAATTTACATTTTGACACTTAGACCAAATCATATTCACAGCAAGTATAGCTAATGTTTTCTTGCTAATGAATAAAAAATATTTTTCAAAATAGATGCAAGATTCTATTTCTCTGGTATGCATTTCACCAGTTCATGAATTTTTATCTTTAGAAGGAATAGCAAAAACTAATAAATTTAGTTTTAGGATTTTAAGTACTATTTATTTTAATGAAATTATACACGTCAGTCATAAAACACTCTACAGGGTAAAGAATACTCAGCTTAAATTTATATCCCGTGGCATAAATCTTGTCTAAGCCTTAGGACAGTATAACGTTTTAGTTCCTAATGGAATTCTATGCAAATAATTATTGGGTGAATCTACTCGTAATTTACAGACAAAATTACCTTAGCTAAGGCAAGGAATTGGAAAACAAATTCTTTATCTTTACATATGTTTAAAAAATATTTTTAAATTAGGCAATTTTAGTTTAGAACGTTTAATTAAAATGTTAGTTAATTTAATCGTTTGTTCTATATTTATAATAAAATCAATATGAATTGAATTTAGAGCAAAATTAGTAAATTTTGAGGAATGTTTCTGAGATGGTGGGGGTGGTGTATTTAATTATGGCAAAGCACACTAGGGCTATCTGCCTAAGGGGAGGGATGCCTTTGTGGAGGACTTTCTAAGGGAACTGGCTCGTATACACGTTACACATGGGGAAAGCCACGAAAACACCCATTCAGCCAGCCCGTTCGCGGGATTCGAACCTCGGACCGAATTACCAATGTTCAGCGACTTTTACCGCTCGGCCGCTGCTGCGCCAAATGTTTCTGAGAATTCAGTAATAGTTAACATATTTAGTTAAAATTTAAACTTTTTTAATATAATAACAAAATTTATACAAGTAAAAATATCTTTGTACAGATCAAATATTCTGCCTTTAATTAATTTAATACCAAACGAAAGTGATGTGTAATGTAAGTATAATTACTTAATAAAATGACATCACACAGCTACTCAGAATTACAACAGTTTTTGAAGTTTCTGTCCTTCAGAATAGTTCAAGAGCAAAAGAAGCATACTCAAAACAAAGAAAGAAGTACTCCAATAGCTGCAGAAACTAAATTTTTAGCCCCAAAGTGACGTTAGCCTCGAATGGGATATTAATCTTAATTTTCTGCTAATTATAAATTACATTGATGGAACTCCAGGTTCTCGTCAAACGTGTGGCTCAGCGCTTTTCCTTGACGGCTTTCAGACTTTCATAGACAGAGAGTTAAATTGTCAGACGGCTGAGAACAATTATTTACATTGAAAGGAACTCTTTGGATCCCGTCACCTGTGCGGCTTGGAACTCAATTTACATCAGTGTCTTTTACGCGGTTCGGTACTCTTCTCTGAGGAACGATATATAGCAAGAAACCTGGTTGTGAAAAATGATTTGCATGGCGAGGAACGATAGGAAGACTCACTGACGTTGTGTCTAGGATATAGAGGTGAGCAAAGTTGCCGGATATGTCAACTTAGTTCTGCGAGTCAAAAATTTTTTGTTGATTTATTTTCTTTATTTTCCACCTGGAAATTTCAGGGTTAAAGAAATAGTTTAAATTCTTTGATACGTAAAAGAGGTTATCACATCTAGCGACGATACTGCTAGGCGGGACTATTCTGAGAAACGAGATTCTGGTAGCACTGGTTTAAACGGGAGGATTTCTAGAAAAAAAAAAGAGCTTCGCTGGAAGCGAAGTCCTGCCTAGTTACGGAAACGATGTACCGGCTACGCGGGATTTTTTTAAACTTCACAGAAAATGTTTCGGCTGGAGCTCTGTCCCGCGTAGAGATCAACCAAGCAGATAAAAGTTCTACTTCTGAAGGATCACGATCTGAGCCACGATCCCAATCTGAAGGATCACGATCTGATCTTTTCACGTTACTGATTTAATAAACTTGAATTTGAATTTTGATTGAGATAATTGACTTTAAGGATATGCGTTTTTTGACTTGACTTCGGGTTTAGATTGATCTTACAATTCCTCATAGTAGTTCTCAGCTTCAGTAGCTCAGTAGTTACTCATAAGTTCAGGTGTTTTTGTTTTTTTTTTTTTTTTTTAGTTTAATATCCTACTTCTTTATTTTTATAGCATCAGTAAATGAGAAGATTAAGTCAAATAAGTTAGTTTTTTTTAAAATAAAATATTGTTTCTCAAGATTTCCTTATATAACAAAAGGTGAGCAAAAAGTTATTATTAATATAGAAAATTTCTTTATATAACTAAAGCATGTGTCTTAGATGATCCCACACCCACAATGATGAAAAGGTAACGTGTCATAAATCAGTCCTTAAGATTTTTTGGAAGCAAGAGATGTGAAAAATGCGCAACGCCCTCGCCAGGGCTCGAACCTGGACCTCTCGAATATGCGCTGAGTGTGCTACCGTTAAACCACGACGGCATGCTGGAAGGAGGGAGAACTACCTTAATATACTCCCCCTTTTAATGGGTAACTGAGGATCACGGGTCCCAGTCGCCAAATCCTGGTGGTGAAGAACCATCATTCACGACCTTTTAGTTCGGGCGCCACTGTAGAGTCATTGGAAGCAGGAGATGTAAAAAATGTGCTGTGCCCTCGCCGGGACGTGAACGAATACACACCGAATATGCTACCGTTATACCACGAAGACATGCTAGGAAGGAGAAATACCTCCTACAAGAAAAAAAAAAAAAAAAAAAAATGATATATTCCATTCTCTTCAGACTTACAGAACTGGTCAAAGCCATCAAGCTCAAAGGACAGAAGGCAATCACAGGTAACTGGTACACCACTAAGTGTCTTCCAGAACTTGTTCAAGAAGTGAATGTTAGGCGCATATCATACGGCGTTTGTTTCACACGAACAACTGTTTCGCACAATGCCTAAAGAGACAATGCCTATCTGCCTAAAGAGAGAGATGCCATCGTGGAGAAATTTTGAAAAAAAAACTGACCTTTGAGTGGCTATTAAAAATAATACTTATAATTTTCATTCAAATTATATTCATATATATTTTTTATGTAAAACTTTCGGGTGTATGCTAAATTAGTGTGTAAATTACTTTACACGAAAAATATAGTGAATGCACAGAAATTAAAGATTTGCACATGCCGGAAATGAAAAATAGGAAATATGTATGGTTATTTATGCATGTGCTTGCCAAAAGCATGTATCTGCCTTTGACAAAATACTTAAATATTCCTTAAATTATTTATAAATGTATTTAAAATGAAGAATTTATTCACTTATAAACAACTGTGAAAGTACTGTGATGAAATCTAATTATTAAATGTATCTAATTTATAATGATTATAAATGTTATCTAAATATACAGTAAGACCCCGCTTAACGCTGTTTCGTTTAGCGCTGTTTCGGTTTAGCGCTCTTTTATTTCAACCCGGGGATTCTCCGAAATTGTGCGCAGCGCTAGGTTTCCAAATAACATATCCGAAACAGTGTAGTTGTGTTTCTTGCTTTTTATCATTTGAAACAACATTTGTTGACATTATTGTAAATTTGATATATAATACTATAACGATTAATAATACAGTGACAAATATTATGATCTTTAGTTTTTATCATGGGTGATGATAAAAAACAAGAAAAGAAAGCAACCAGAAAAAGCATTTCACTGGAAACTCAAATGCAAGTGATTAGAAGATTAGATTCTGGTGAACGTCAATCTCAAATTAGTGCTGCATTGATTTTGGCAACTTCAACAATAAGGACAATTCTTAAGAATAAAGGAAAAATACTGTCATCGGCAACTGCAACTACGTCAAGCTCTGCAACTAGAATTACCCGTTCTAGAAATAACGTTATAGAGGAAATGGAAAAACGACTGTCTATATGGATTGACGACGAAATTGAACGCAATATGCCATTAAGCCAATCTATCATAATGCCTACTTAACAAAAAGGCAGAAAATTGGAAACGCAGAATAGACTGAATGATCTGACTGAGAATTTTTATTTGTTTTTAAAAGTATATGCGTTTATATTGTTTTTTATTTTTGTAAGAAATAAATGTTTTGATTTTATTTTATTAAAAAAAAAACATTATTAAATTTATGCCTAACCATTTTTTATCCGTCTTCCCCTAACCCCATTATTTACATGTTAAGATAGCCTCGCTTAGCGCTGTTTCCCATTACGCTCTACTTCGATGGAACGTATCCCCCGCGTTAAGCGGGGTCTTACTGTATAATAACCTTAATATTGAATCGTAAACATAAATTGAAATCCTGTTGACAAATACGTTATAAAAACTATTTAAGCAAGAATTGTTCGTATTGGAAAGCAGTCTGTTAAAAGGTATTGTAAAGCAAATGCTATTAGATGCGCACTTAAGAACGTAATAAAGAGTTTTGGAATATGTATTGTTGAAATGAAGGGAAAAAAAAAATAATCTGATAAGTATAATTAAAAGAATTATTTCCCTTACATTTTATAATAACTCGGTTACAAGTTTTAAATAATACTTTAAAAAAAAACTTATTTTATTCCCTTTCAGAAATGTTCAGAGAAAGTCAAGTACTATTTAATTCCTAATAATTCTCTAATTTAAAATGAACCAAATAGAGCATTAATTATAAATTGACTTACATTTTTCGATTTAAAAGATGCCTCAAAAGCCAAAAACTCATGTCATATTTAAGAAACTATTTTAGGAAGAAGCTCTATAAATAGAAAAGAAATAATGCATAATTTTAATATTAATAATACAATAAACTTTGATCTTAATTTTTGTACCTTAACCGAATAAAATCGAATTACCTTAATTTTTTTTCTAATGTAATTAACGAAAACTTGTGAAAATATTTCATTTAAATTAAACCATTCTGAGAAAACTGTCCTGTGAAAAGTATAGCATTTAATTCCGTTCAGAATGAAATGTTGTTTAAAAATATGTTGTTTTCACATACTTAGGACTCTGAAGTGTTGTAGAAAAAGAAAATATATACATTTATATGTATATTTACGACGTAATTACAAAATATTTACATCCGAACGCGTCAAATCCCATTGAACTCAATGGTAAATGACCCAATGTTTTGGTCACCACGTAGGGATCGCCGGTGCTTCAGAGCAGGCTACGAGAGAAACTTGTTTAGAGCGACTCCATCTTACTTCCTACCTCCATGCATCCACCTTGTTCACTCGATGTAGTTATCTGTGACTTTTGGCTACTTTTTAATCTTAACTTACGTGGACGTTGTTTTCTTTCCGAAGATGAGCTTGATGAGGCTATAAATGTATATTTTTATCGATTCCAAGAAATGAATGGCTCGAGGCATTTAATCTTTGGAAAATTCGTTTGCACGAATACATTGACGCCGGAGAAAACTACTTTGAATATTCATAAAAATTTTATTAAGTATAACTTTGACAACTTATGCGTATCTCAAAAATTTCTGAGTGACCCTCGTGTATACATCATAATCATAGATGAATTACAGAGGATAATGACGAATGCAGGAAATAGTATCTCAGTATTTTATTTTATTCAACAGATGTCAGACTAATTCAGAAGTCAAACAACAAAAATCAGCGTTATATTTTCAAAATTTTCACAGGACTAGTTTCGATGGTTTTACCGAACCACCATCCTCAGCTGCAAAAACCGCAAATGAACAAGATAGGAAATAATGATTAGATAAGATAAGAAAGCCTGGACAAGAATAAGCAAGTGGCGCCATCTGTTGGCGAAACCAGAACTAAAACATAATTTCTCTAAAAGGCCGAAGGCAAATTTGGATTGGAATTAGGATCGTTAACTAGAAAGATTTTTTTGAATGTGAAATGCCTCTAGAAAATCCAGTTCTCCAATGGAAGATGTTTTTTGAATAATTTTGGCAGCAGAAAAATTGAAAGTGTGATTTTCGGACCAACAATGTTGAGCAACAGAAGACTTCTGTGTTTCCTTTTTTCTAACATATGCCTCATGTTCTTTGACGCGAAATTTTAAGGCTCTCTTAGTTTGGCCAATGTAAATTAAACCACACTGGCAAGGAATCCTATAAATACCCCAGGAATTCATATCCGGAATGGGGTCCTTGAGTATAGAAGTTGGAATTTTATTGATGGGAGAATAAACAACCCGAAAGTTAAATTTCTGCAAAATATGTGCAACTTTATAGCTAATTGATGGAAAGAAGGGAATGACAACAGAATTTTTATAATCTCCTAAAATAAGCTAGTGTGTTGAGATGAGAATTTTTTAACTGCTTGATTAATAATGTTGGGTGAAAAGCCCCTGTCAATAGCTATTGCTTTTAAATAATTTAGTTCTTCATCAAGGGCTAGTTTGGAGGAGCAAACTTGAAGAGCACGGAAAACATAGGAATAAAATGAAGCTAACTTTTGTTTAGTCGGATGACATGATTTAAAGTGCGGTGGAAGGCAAATCGATGAAGGTTTACGGTAAACCGTAGTACTGAAGTTGGATGTGTTACGTGTGACCAGAATGACGAGAAACGGAAGAGAATCGCAAGTCTCAAGTTCAAAATAGAACTGAATAGCAGGATCAATAGAATTCATTGTTGAAAGAACTTTATTTAAATCATCTTTATTACCTTCAAACAGGTAAAAGTATCGTACTGGCTTTCTAAAGATTTCTCATAATTAACATTGTATTGGAATGAAGAGAATTCTTTTTGTATGTGTGTGAGTGAAATTTTGGTTTATTAATTGTTTGGGATCCCTTTTGTAACTCTTATTCTTCAAATATTTTTAATTTATATTAAATTTTAACCTCCATTTTCTTCTGCAGATTAACCATGTCCATGCTTATTTGGGAACACCGCTGATGGTTGCTGTATTACAGTCTGCTCTGAAAATGCGACCCGCAAAAGATCCCACTACGTATGAAGATTTTTCAGATGAAAATTTTCTTCTGGAGATTAAACGTGAACATTTTGGAATGCTGAGTATGGCTTCTGCGATACAGCATGTTCTACGACCCGCAGAAGATCCCATTACAGATCAAAATTTTCCATATATAGATTTCTGTACGCTGTTGATAGACCGTGGATGTGATGTTAATGCTACTGATATTATTTATGGTACAACAGCTCTGAATGTTGCAGTAAGACTAAACCACGAAATTTTAGTTCGGAAACTCCTTATTTCTGGAAGCGACATTGACAGGCGTGACAATCGTGGTTGTTCTCCATTATACTACGCATGTCTACAGGGAAGCCAGAGAATAGTCGATTTGTTTATAACTTTCGGTGCTAATTTACGTACCCAGGATTGGGAAGCAACTTTCGAACTGTGGAAATTAATGAAAAAATTAAATGAGAAAAATACTCAGTTATTAAATTACGTTATTTATCAATCGAAGCAGTGCCTTACCTTAGAAAATCTGTGTAGTAAAATTATTAGAAAAAATACTAGAAATGTGGAAAAAAATGCCATTAACCTTGGAATACCATCAATACTAGTAAACCGCCTACTACTTAAAGGTTGATGCAAATCGTATTTAATATGATTTATACCCATAAGACTGCACTTGATATCTTATTTCTGATTATAATTAAATTTTTGAGGTATAAAATTTAATAAAAAGAGAAAAGTATTATCAGCGTACTTTTTCTTTTCTCCCACAAAAGGGCATTCTTTTAAATTTATTATTTAACACTGAAATAATATTTTCTGCTTCTTTTCTGTAAAAGTTGGTGTGCATTTAAAACAATGCAAATAATCTCTACATATAATAAAAGAAAGAATTTGCCTGTGTGTGTGTCTTTCGTTCGTGCTGCGCGTAAACTAATAGACCCAGGGCTACAAAATTTGGTACATAGGTGTATCTAGACAAGAGCCAGTGCACCTCAAAGCGATTTTTTTTCAAAATTCGAATCAGATTTTTTTTTTTTTTTTTTTTTTTTTTTTGTTTTGTTTTATCTTTTTTGATGAAATCGCATCATTTTGAATTGTTTCATTCTTTTAGAAATGTGGTTTTGACAACAGTTTTCCATTCATTGCTTCGGATACTAGACTGCTGACTGTTTTCTATTGAAAATATGAGATTTATTGCTTATTTCATTGTAATTTTTTACTTCCTTGTACGAAGTAAAAAGGAAGTATTGTAATCGCGAAAAGTTTCAGGCAGCATATTTCAACAAAAATATCCATTTTGACCGCTATCGAATGCAATTTAACGATGTTTTTGCGTGATATCTGTACGTAAGGACAGAATAAAAGACTCGTTTCCTCCAAAAAAATTATAAAACTCCTTTTAAATTAATTCTGAAGAGAATTTTTGGTGGCGTCTGCACGAACGTATGTGCGTACGTACGTACGTACATATCTCGCATAACTCAAAAACGAGTAGCCTCAGAATGTTGAGATTTTGTATATAGCACTACTATAACATGTAGATGGCCACCTCGTATTTTGGTTGCAATCGGCCGCACCAAACGTATATAATTATATTTATATATATATATATATATATATCCACTCTGTGACCCGGCTCAGTGATCTCAGTTTCTTTACTCTTATATGTTTGTAAATTGTACATTTTTTGCTTTCAAAATGATTGAATTATGTTGTTCTTATCTTCAGGTTAAGGTTTTTATGCCTTTAGTAAATTTCTATGCAATATTTTTAGAATTATCGATAAATTATTGTTTAAGTGCCGCTAAGCCTAATAATTTTCTTGATGGCGGCCATTGGTCTTGTTTACATTTGAAACAGCAGGATAGCGGATTTGTTGCCAATCTAGAGAAACTTAGCTTCGCAACAACAAAGATAATGCCTTTATTTATTATTTCCAATTAAATCATACTTAATATATTCTGGAATTTTTTCGAGGAAATAAGTTTTTAAGATTTACTTCGTAATTTTTAATATAGATATTTTGAGTTTTTATGTAATTTTGCTTTCTCGCGAAGTGAGAACTGAATGACTTGAAGGAGAAATACTCAATCGTCTGTGAAAAACTGTTTCTTTTTTGTTTTGTTTGCTTAATTTCTTTTATACATCATTCTAGCTTTATTACAGTCTTTGAATAGAACATGTGGCAACGATTAGATAATTCTATTCTTTAAATGATATAAATTTTGTGCATTAGGAATTATAATATGAACGAAATATAATACTGTTAAGTGAATCTAGCGCCAGAGTGTCGCTACGATAAACAAATACTAGAGTGTACAGATCAGATTTTTTATATTATGTTTTAATTATATAAAAAGTTTTGCATGATTTTTTTAGAAAACAAAGTTCTTAACTTTCTTCAAACCATTTGAATTTCTTAAGATTTCCCCCCCCAACGAGAAAATGGTTTATTTATTAGGATAATTAATATTTGTATTAAGAGGGATTTTGCTTATTTCATTGTAATTTTTTTAATATGTGATACATTTTTATTGACTTTTTTTATAAGTTATTCTGCAGAGTAAAATTCTGTGCAGGTTTTAAATTTAATGTTTGGTGTTCCCTTTAGGCATTTTTACGGTACATATAAAAGCCGGCGAAGGCTGGCTTCGGAGCGGCTAGTCACTAATAATATATTGTAAGGATTCCAAGTTTACAATAGCAAAACGTACAAAGGAAAATCTGTAGCAGGTCCCTCTACGTATAATATGATCTTTGTTATTGCGAAGATTAGTTTTTTTAGATTGGCAACAACAAAAAAATGAAAGTAAAAATGTTCGCTTTGATGTTGTAACCCTAACATCTTCTTTTTATTATTGTGAATTAAAATATGCCTAATCCATTATAGAATTATCCGAATTTCAGTTATAAGAGATTAATTTTTTCATTTTTATCATTTTGTATATTTTTCCTTTTCGCAATTTTATTTTTCGAGTTTGTTCTACTAATGCATTCTTATTTTAATTTTGATAAGTTTAGATATTGTGTTAAACCTCTTATACACGGTGGCAGTTATTAATATTGTTGAGGAATTGCCTTGCTTTGACTCCAGTTTACTTTTAACTTTAGATGCTTTAAGTTTATTTTACTTCAATCCTGCAGCTATAGCGTAGGACGAATTTAAAAATTTTGCTTTCGATTTTTGCCTATTATTATGTTTTCTTTTTGTACATATATATATATATATACTTTTGGTGCAGCCTAGTGCAACCAAAAAGAGAGATACACAGCCACATGTTATAGCAGTCTTATATACAAAATTTCAATATTCTGAAGCTACTCGTTTTTGAGTTATGCGAGATACATACATATATACATACGTACAGACGTCACAAAAAATTCTCGTCTGAATCTAATATTTTAAAGGAATTTTATAATCCGTGTGGGAAAAAATAGTCCTTTATTCTGTCCTTACGTATAAATGTGAAGCAAAAACATCGCTAAATTGCATTTGATAGCGATCAAAATGGATATTTTTGTTGAAATTTGACGTCCGAAATTTTTGGTGATTACAATTTACAAAAATACAAAATTTACAAAGATACAAATGTTTGGTGATTCGAACAAGGAAGTAAAAAAATCTCTTCTTTTCCTCCAAAAAAATATCGACTTACAGATGCCCACCATCACTCCTTGCGCACTCAGAAAATCTTCTGTTAACATCTTTACCTGTTGCGGTATCCACCGAAATCATCGCAGCAAAAACATCGCGGACGAAAATGTCGCTGAGAAAACAATGCAATAAAACCTCATTGTACAAAATATCGTAAAAGAAAAGAAAGCAAAAAGATAATATCGCAGTTATAACACGTCTTTGTAAAAAAATATGGCGATCGAAAATAAAGCGGTTCAGAAACTTCGCTGTTTAAAAATATCGTTGTAGAAAATATCGCCGTAAAAAAAAAAAAAAAAGCACCTACAAATCGTCGAATGACGATAATATCGCAGACATGCCTTTTTCAATCTTTAAAAGTCGTAAATGCATATTTGCATAATAATTTGTGGGCTCAAGAAGGAAAGAGGAATATTTTTACTTTTGAATTTCGTATTTTTGATTTAACTAATAAATTTTTGCTGGAAAAACAAGGAGACGTAAGCATTTAAAAACTGAAAATGAGTCGAAAATAAATGCAACTTAAAGCACTTAATCGAAATTTTAACTAATAAACGTCATTGTTGCGATGTAAATGTGAAGGAACTCAAAACACGTCCTCGTTTTAAACATGAAACTTATATTAAATAACTGCACAATACAAGTATAAACAAGAAAATAACATATAACACTTATAAGTACGAGAACAGAACTAAATAGTGAAGAATAGACAGCATAGCAGCTGCCTTGCGAATGCGTTCGTCTGAGTCTGACTATTCAACTGAATTAAGAATGTTCTTTGGCATAGTTCCAAAAGCGAAAGAGTCAGGTTGAGTTGTTCTGTTCCGGTGCACCGGAACATACTCCCACCCTATCAGGCATTAGTCCTGATATATGGGCAAAGGTGCTAATTTAATGAATGTTTCTTTTAAAAAATAGAGCTTTTAGTTTTAACCGTGGCCACACGAACTAGTCCGTCAGCACCATGATGAAGTTCGACCACTTGTCCTAGTGGCCAAGAACCTGGAATATGACCATCATCTAGTAACAGGACGATGTCTCCAGTTTTTCATATTCGGCTGAGTGTCCTTCCATTTCTTTCTGGTTTGAAAGAGAAGATAGATATGCTTTGGTCCCCATGATTTGCAGAAGTCCTTGCGCATCTTTTGAAGGAGATCCCACCTATTCCGTATATTGGCAGGACTAGTAGGAGGTAGTTCAGAGGGGATAGGATCACGTCTCCTGTAAGAAAATGTGAAGGAGTGAGAATATTAATGCAATCAATGTCAGTATTGTTTACACTACATAAACGGACGAAGAATTTAAAATGGCTTCTATCTGAGCCAATAGAGTTGTCAATTCTTCGAAAGTAAGTAGAGTTTCACCTATTACTCTTTTACAGTGATATTTGGTTTGATTTAATTGCGGCCTCCCAAATTCCTCCGAAATGAGGAGATGCTGGAGGTAGTATAAAGTGCCATTCTATTGATGCTTGAGTTAAATGATGATCAACGGCTTCGTTCTTAGGAAGTGAAGGCCCACAATCGTTGTATTTCGCTGAGCTTTTCGATTAGCCCCAACGAAGTTTGTTGCATTGTCGCTGTAAATGTGACTTGGAGCTCCTCGTCTAGCACTGAAGCGACACGCAAAGCAGCTAAAAATGCATCAGCGGTTAAATCGCTGACTGCCTCGATTTGCAGCGCCTTAGTAGCAAGACAAATAAATAGAGCAATGTAACCCTTGGTTGATTTTGCTCCACGACCCTTGTTGAATTTGATTGAAATAGGACCGGCATAGTCCACTCCGCAGTTGAAGAAAGGCCTCTCGAGTGTTACACGATGCTTAGGTAGATTACCCATAAGCTGGTAGATGCTTTTAAATTTGAAGCATTTGATGCATTTGTGAACACATTTATTAATGAGCTTTTTTCCACCTATTATCCAATATGATTGTTTGATAATGTGGGACAGTAATGAAGCACCAGCATGTAAATAAGTCACATGCTTTTCTTTTACGATGAGCTCACTTATCTTGTGTTTAGCAGGTAGAATCACTGGGTGCTTTTGATTAAAAGACAATTCTGAATTTTGTAAACGCCCTCCCACCCGTAAAAGACTGTTTTTCATCTATAAACGGATGGAGGGAGTGTAGCTGACTTTTCTTAGGCAACGATCTTTGATTTTTAATGCATTTTAGGTCTTCAAAAGATTAAAAAGATTATTAACAAATAATCTTTCTGAACCCATCGAATTATGATTATTTCTGC